TTAAAATTAATAATTTTTAAATATTTTTAAATTATTTTGATATATTAATATTAAAAATAAATTTTTAAACATAAAAAAAAAATTAATAAAAAATACTTTAAATCATAAATAGCATTGTGAATATCTTTGTTAGCCGCCGGCACATAATTTCGAACTTTTGTCGTTGTTAGGAGATGACATTTGCTGGTTTTTACACGTGACTAAAATTATGTTTTTATGCCTGCACAACTTGCACGTCAGTTGTACTTGGCACATGTTTCGCATGTGAACCATTTTTATTTTTTTTTACCATTAAATGAACATAATTTTGTATCATGATGGAAAATCGGTAAATATTACATTCCTTTTAAATCTTTAAATTTTTCTAATAACTGTTTTGCCTATTTTTTTTTTTCAAACCAGGTAGTTTTAAATTTATTTTATAAAAAGATATATATTAAATAATTATTTTAATCTAATAATTTAATTGTTAAGTGAGATATCAAATATAATTTATATTATTATGTAACATATCTCTATAAATAAAAGTTTATTAAACTTGCAACTTGTATAGATTTATGTTATCTTATACTTAATTTTTATCAAATAAATAAAAATAATGAGATTCAAACTCATGATCGCTTAATCATTAAAATTCCAATACTATATCAAATAACCAATTCAACCTAAAAGCTTAAATTCAAGTAATTTAGTAATAAATCTTATGTGATGGACATTTGGCTAATCACTTTGTTCTTATAATCTTTTCCAGTTTTTTTAAATATTGTGGTTGGTAACTTGATGTAGGAAATCAAGGTGGCTTATAACTTGATATGAGAAGCCACATACCTGCGAAATGTCAAGGTGGCTTATAGCTTTTAGATATTTAAATTGGTAACTTTATAAAATGAGAAAATTTAATGATGTTTTAGAGAAATAAATTTCAAAAATATATATGCTAAAAATATTGAGAATGAAGAGATTATAAACTTTAAACTTAGTAGATTCATATGGTATTTATAGTCCATAAATCTTGTCATTTTGTACATATGAGAGGTTGAAGAGCAATTATAACCCTAAACTAATATGGTATTTTAAGTATAGCATACTTAAAATAATACATATTGAATCAATATAAAATACTAAGAAACTCATATGAGGATCCTAGAAAATTACTAAAGGACTCGTATGGGACTGTGAAAAATTTTTCACGGAAGTGTTACGCTTAAACAAGTTTTTTAGGCATGATAGGAATGAAAAATAAACCTAGACGTGTTGTTTAGATCCATGATAGTTGGATTCGGGCTCAAGCCTATAAAGATACTGAACTGACACTCAACAACCTAGTTGGGCGTGTCTTGGTTGATATAGGCCTCGCGGTCATCTTAGCTAGTTCCTCTTGGATAGGTAGCATGCTTAGCATGAACCTAGATGATAAGTCGGTTACTTATGGTTACGAGAGAGGTTTTTTTTAACATTTTAAGAGATTTTTTATTCACATTAAATTTTGATTTATCAATATACTTTGGCACATAAACACCAACTAATATGATATATATATATATATATATATATTTGATGCCATGTAAACAAGTTTTGTTTTTCTAAAATAAAAATAAAATCTTAATCTCTAAACATCTTATAGTTCAGACTCTAATTACAAGAGGCCAGTTGCCAAATCATGTGTAATGTTTTGTAACGAAACTTTATGAAAAAGGGACAGTGCAAAATGATTTGTTTTTTATCTTTCCTGTGATGATACTGTAGACGAACTCTAACAACTAAGCACTCTAATCAACTTTTTGTAGTAAACAAAATAAATTATTTTTCTTTGGTTTTTTCGCAATACAATAAACAGATTAATTCTAAGAACAAGAAAATGCAGAAGTTGAGAGATAAGATATATATGGGAAGAATAATAATTGAGAAACCCATCAAATCTGATACTTTGCTCAATTTTTTTTGTCTTACTGTAGAAGATGAAATCCTATTTGGAATGTATTCTAGATAGGTCGAGTAAATTCTGTTTGGGAATGTATTTAAATAGAGATCGATTAAAATAAAAAAATTATTTAAAATTAATTTTTATATAGTTTTAGATTATTTTCATATGATATATTAAAAATAAAATTTTAAAAAATTAAAAAATATGTTATTTTAATATATTTTTTTAGTAAAAAACACAAATTTCAAACACAATATAGATTTCATTGTATACCAGAATGGGGAAGAAAAACTTAAAAAATATAATTTATATTATTCTTTAATATACCTTTTCAAATAAAAATTCTTTAAATTTATATTATATTTGTTTAATTTTTTTATCAAATAAATAAAAATGATAAGATATAAATTTATAATTGTTTAATTTTAAAGCTCTGATATTATATTAAAAAATTATTTTAACTCAATAACTTATCAATAACTTAATAATATGGAAGCTTTAAAATATAATTTATATTATTTTTAAAGTTTTTACTATCCTTGCACGCATAAAGTAACTATGACCAATCTCATCCAATGAATTCAACCAGTTTTTATTATTATTAATAATATTTATTTAATTAAATTATATATATGGTAGTTACTGTTCAAACATTATAAAAATTTTCAAGTTAATTTAAATTTATAGTAAGTAAAGTAATATGTGAAAAACAAGATATAAAATTGTGAGAATCTGATCCAGATATTATTTGAAAAGGAGATTATTTTATGTATTATGTATAAACCGATTGTAGGTTACAGTAAACGGTGCTCATCATGAGATAGGAGTTCTTTTTTCATATAACAAAGAAAGCATTTAAATCTTTTTTCCTAGGGATCAATCCCTTAAGGGTTTTCAATTAATTAGTTTGTCGGTTTATGCCAAAATACTCACATTCCAGATCCATCTTAATCCGATATATATATATATATATATATATAAAACCCCATAATGTAGCCAGTCTCTTTCAACAGCTAAGGTGAAGCTCCGAAGAGGGTTTGGAGGGATCGGGCATCCTCCCCGTCCATCCTACCCATCTAGAAAATCATGATTCCATTTTGAAGGCCACTTTAAATGTTTTCACTTTATGAGAGTGTTGGGTTTTTTTTTTTAATGTATAACTTATTTAATATAGAAAAGCCACCACAGAAAGGTAAGTTTTTCATGTCTTTTCTTGGTATTTTTATCCCGTCAAAGAAGACAAACTATAATTTTATCCCAAACACACCTCTTCTTAAGAACTCTTGAAAACAATTTTAAGCATAATTATAAAAAGAAATTTACTAAAGACAAGCTTTGATACGAAGACAAGTATATATACCCCTTGAAAATTTCAAAATCAAATAATTAAAATAGTATTTTAGATTGTAGTAATGATTACTTTTTAAATTATTTTGAAATATATTATAATAATATATTTTTAAAATAAAAAATTATTTTTTATATTAGTACATTAAAATAATCTAAAATCATAAAAAGATTTAATTTAAAGTAAAAAAATAAAAACTTTCAAAAGCATTTTTAAACACACAAATAAAAATAAAAATAAAAACATTTTTTAGTCCATCATGTTCATGATTCATTTTGTCCTGAATAACTGCAATGAATAATCATCGCACCTAAAATAACATCATGCCCGTGTAAGAAGATGAGAATTGTAATGTTGTCCCATATCAGAATGATGCTGCTTTATTATTTCACGTTCATGGAAACATCGTCACCCCTATCAGCCTCGGGAGGGCCAGCTATTTCGTTAAAAATATATTAAAATAATTTTTTAATTTTTTTATTAATATATTAAAAAAAAATAAAAAATAAAAAATAATTTAAAATCTAAAAAAAACTTTAATTTTTTTTAAAAACACTGAAGCACTGTACCAAACAGTCCTTACATATAATTGCACCAATGATTCATGCGCCTTACACGTAAGTGCACCAATTGATCATGCTTATCCATCACCGTAAAATCAAGGTTGTTTTGTTAATAAATATTAATATTTAAAGGTGGCCATGACTCTTGACTTTACTTAGATGGTGTTTGATTAATTATTTTTTAAAATGTTTTTTATTTAGAAAAGTATTAAAATAATATATTTATATTTTATATTAAAAGGTTTATTTTTTATATTAACATCTTAAAATAATTCAAAACTATTTAAAAAATTAAATTAAATCTTAATAAAAAAATGAACTAAAACTCAATGTCAATACAATTACAAACGCGTCATTGTTAATAATGACACAAGGGGCATGCTCTTAGTCAGCAGACCACTAAACAATTTATAGTGCACCCACTCGGGAAAGCACCGTATGTCCAAAATTGAATTAGCTTTGGTGGTCTGAAATCTAACTCCACCATATTTTATTGTCTAAATTGTCTCTATCCATCCATCCGTTCAATTTTTATTTTTATTTTTATTTTATATTGTCTAAGGTGATGGCTGGATTGTTTTGAACATTTCAACGGACATTGACAAAAATGGGCATTTTACTAGCAAATACTAAGGAACTAAAACAGACTGGGAATTCTAAGAATAGGCAGAGACTGGATATTTCCCCTTCGCTACTCCCAATATAAAAAATTAGAAATTAGAAGATAGGAACGCTAAGAAAAATAAAGTAAAAAGACAAGACTAGAGATAGGAATCTCCCTATAAACTATGGTAAGAACTAAGAAATGCCCTTCCTACGATACATTCGATGTCTGCAACCTAAAAACAAACCGGACTAACTGAACCGGGTTTGACTCTGGTTCAGAAAAAACCTACATGTTACCGATAAACCTTCAAAAACTAGGAACCATCTGGTTCAACCTGGATTCAGGTCCGCCCATCTCCTTCTTCCTTCTCATCTCTAACACCTTTCGATGGCTATTCGAGTGAACTTCACTCGAAAAGGTAGGGCTGCAGGCTGGTCTATACTCCGGAAAAAGTCGACCGGATTTATAACGAACACCGCAAGCATTACATAGCGTTTTCGCACCAAGCGGCCCGGTTCGCCACTGTGGGGTCTTCTGAACCTGGCAATGACTGCACCGACGCTGGAATTGGGGCGACCCCGTTATCCCACTAGTTTGAACCGCCAGTCTTTTCTTTGGTTTTTTCATTGGCGGTTCACTCAACCACGATAACGAGTCAATTGTTTGAACCGTGTTGGCCGAAACAAGACATGGCATTGACGAGGCTGAGGAGGCTGAGGATGACGGTGTCTCGGTTTGGTTCGACCTACCCGACCAGGTGCGACCAGTGCGTCTGGACCGTTTGGTTCTTGCCTTGGAGGGAACCCGTGAAGGGAAAAAACCAGGAATTTTTGCTAGAGAGGGTTTGGGTTCTGGTTCGAACCGGTTCTTTGCATGGCTTTCTGGTTTTCCTTTACAGGCAGGAACCAAAAGAGAGACATCAGACAAAGAATCATCGACAAAGTGAGATACCCATTCAAGCTCTGCTATGTCATCGGTCTGTCAAAAGACAACATGGGTTTCATTAAGAACACAAAAAATATCAGAAGAAGGAACAATAATTGACAAAAATTCAATCATCTTCACGTACTGGTACAGCGAGTTCACTTGAGAGAAAGGAATCGGAGAAGCTGCTGGAGTTTGAGTGAAAATCATCATCAGCAACGTCTTGAGAGGAAACAGAAAGAGAGTCTTTCTCTTCCTCTTCTTCTTGTGCATAACCATCTTTGAATTCACCATTAGAGAAGTCCAAGAAACAATCAACAGAGAAATCTTGATCACTTGAAACAACAGCAGGTGTATTAAAAGCAAAGAAATCTTCAGAAATAGCTTGTTGGGTTGATTTTGTAGCTAGTTCGTTGCGTAAACTTGACTTCAAGGCTCTTGTCTCCATGCAGAACTCCATTTTCTATATTCAAAATTCAAGAACCAAAAAGACTTTAACCAAAATTCCCTAAATATATGACAAGTTTTTTGTTCATAGACTAATTGCTTGCTTATGTGCTGTAAATGGCTAAATTACCTGACAAAGATTAGGAGAAGTCTGGAACTGAAAGGATAGATGGTGTTAGTTGGGCACTGAAATGAAGGCTTCTTACTGGGCGAAACTGGTGCGGAGTTAATGGCTTATCTTTGTCTGCCTCTCTTAGATATCTCTCTCTTATTATTAGCAATTCTTTTTTTGAAAATTTAATGTTTGTACATAAAAGTTAACGGTGGCGAATTATTTTTGTGAGTGATATTTGGTCAATTTAGGAGATGACTATTCTTGGGTCTTTATAGGCTGGCCATGCGAATCCACAGTTACCGTAGAGATTGCTTACCTTTAGCCACCACGCCTTGGTCATACGAGCCCACCGAAGCCAGGAAAAAGAAAAAAAAATCAAAGAACTTTCGTAGCTGGTTTGGCCCCGATTCTTTGATTTTCTACCTGTGTCCAGCTGCCCTCATTCGCACTTTGGTTTATGCTGAGAAAGATTTCAGAAAGCAACTGTTTTCCAGTAGATTAAAGGCTGTGTTTAATTTTATTTAAAAAAATTATTTATGAGATCAATATATTAAAATAATTTTAAAATATTAAAAATCAATTTTTTAAAAAAACTTCAATTAAAACAACACTGCCGTAAACAGAACTTAATTTGAGTTGGCAATTTTATTATTTTCTTTTTTTGTGAAATCATGGTTTTCAAATCCTAAGGTACACCTCGGATAATCCTTAATTATTAAGAACATGAGAGATTCTATTTCTCTCGTGACAACTCCTCTGAAGATTTTACCATTAACAGAACTTGACGAAGATTATAGAGCAGAAAGTCCATGGAAGCATAAGAACACGGGGACTGATTGTATCTGAGTTGGGGTTACGGAGATTAAGTCAACCAATTAATATAATGATTTGGCTCGACAGATTATTATGTCTTCTCGATATATATCTATTTTTTACTCATATAAAATTAAATTTATAGGGGTACTCCTTGTCTCAAATAAAATGAAATATATCATAGTGAAATTTTGCATGTAGAAATATTAAAAACTAAATGATGAGTGATTTATCCTGCTATTGTCTATCAATAGATAATTTATGATATAATTATTTTTATAACACTTAACCTTCTTCGGAAATAGTTTTTTTGTAACAAGTATTTTTTTAAATGTTTAGTAGTATTATAAAAAATAAATTTGGAAAATAGTTTTTTTGTAACAAGTATTTTTTAAAATATTTAGTAGTATTGTGAAAAATAAATTAAAAAATATTTTTCAGTGTTTGACTATATAATAAAAAATAAGTTGAAAAATAAATTATTAATATTTTTTTCAAGTTTATTAAAATAATAAGAAACAAATCTTATAAATTAAAAATTTAAATGAGAATAAAATTAAAAAAATAATCTAATGTCATAAATTATTTCAAATAAAATAAATAACAATAAAAATAATGAATATCGAATCTAATAAATAAAAAAATTAAAAGATAATGCAATTAAATTTTTTTTTATAAATTATTTTAAATACAATAAATAACAATAAAAAAACGAGGACTAAATTGATAAATAAAAAAATCTTATTAGAAAAATAATAAGAGAAAAACAAATAAGAATCATAAAAATAAGAATCTTGATATAAAAATCAAATTAAATAAAATTCTAAGAGATAAAATTAAAAAATATTTAAAACAAAATATATAGAAATCAAAAAAATTAAAAACTAAATTTGATATAATTAATAAATAACATGATATTTTTAAATTTTTCAAAATTTTTAAATAATATTTTCCATCTAAAATAAAAGAGAACTTTTCTATAAACAAAGTTAATTTTTTTTAATTAAAAAATATTTTTTATTAATTAATTTTTTTAATAAGAAATAATTATAAAAAAAAAAAGAAATTTAAAAATCATTTTTAGAAAACAATTAACCTGATATTTTTAAATTTTTTAAAACTTTTAGATAATATTTTCCATCTAAAATAAAAAAGAAATATTTTACTATAAATCAAGTTAAATTTTTTTAATTAAAAAATATTTTTTTTTAATTAATTTTTTTAATAACAAACAATTATAAAAAAAATAATTTAAAAATCATTTTTAGAAAACAATTTCCGCGGGGCTCACTTCAAGAGAACTTCTTCATGTCAAGTTGTCTTTGATATTGTTAGAAGTATTTAATAAACAAAAACAAATAGCTGTATTATTATTTGTCGATGTCATGTAGGGTGCATGGTACGTGCGTGTTTGTCTCACAAATACAATTGCACGCGTGCAAATGTGACAACCCCAAATCTGGGTAACTAGATTCTCTCAATTGCATAAAAATATCCACACATTTTTTCGTACTTGTTCCCCGTTTTGAATATTAATTTTTTCCATTCACATGTATTTAGTTGAAATGAAAGATACATAAAATAAATGTTTTTAAAATAAATCTTTATATTTAAAAAAATATCTCAATTATCTTTTTTTTTTCTTAATCTTATATGCTGAAATAATAATTAAACGTATCTAAAAAAATTGACTGTTTTAAAATGTTTTTTTTTTTTAAATAAGCCATGGGAGCACATGGCGCCAAATACATTCAAAAATAAAGGGGGAAAACTGTAACGAATCATCTAAAAAGCCACTAAATCATTTTGGCCCTTCTGTCTGCACAAATTGTCCTTCCAGATTCAAATTATTTGTCAAATTAGCTTCCTTGGCCGCGTTAACCACGCCGCCATCTCTGGCTGATTTTTCATGTCCTCTTCTGCTTCAGCGGCCATTCGCATCTTTAACGCGTATAAATCTATCGGTCGCTATTGCTTGGAGGCTTGCATCTAACGGTCACGCTGCGAGAGCGAGTGGAGGGGGACTTCTTTAGTTTGAAGCGTGAAACGATAGTGCTCCACGATGTCAAGCAAAGTGCAAGCGCGTTGCCTTATGGTCTCTAAGCTGTCTGTTGGGACCCACATGCTTTTCTGATTTGTTTACACTTTACACGGTGCGGCTAATCAATGAAATTATTAAGTTTAACTTAACATATCGATTTCGCATAAGAGTATGATTGAAAATGTAATTATGATTATTTTTAAAAATATTTATTATTTAAAAATATATTAAAATATATTTTTAATTTTAAAAAATTATTTTTAATATTGATATATCAATATAAGTTAAAAATATATTAATTTAAAATATAAAAATAAAAATTTTAAAACCTTTTAAAAATATTTTTAAAATGTTAAAACTCCTTTTAAAAATATTTTTGAAATGTTAAAACAAACAAAACAACTTTCTATCCTACTAGAGTTTATAATTAAAAACCACTTTCTATCCTACTAGAGTTTATAATTAACTGATAAAAATTGCTTTTATGTGATTTACTTAACTTAATGTGTGGTTTATTTAACTTAATGATTTTAAAAATAACTTGTATATTTAATAAAAAGTGTAGTTTATGTTTTTTTAAAAAAATTAAAATAATATTTTTTATTATTGAAACGATAATTTATTGAATCGGATTTCACAGCTTAATATATTAAATTTATAATTCGAGTAATAAACTCTATTGGGTTTAAAAATATTATTTTTTAAATTTTTTACTTAATTATACAATAAAAAAAAAATACTTAAAAAATTGAATTTAAATTAAATATTAAGATGTTTGTTTGAGATTACAATAATTTTAGAAAATAAACTAAATAATTTATAAAGATAAATTCAAAATGAAACAAATAAGGATAAATTTTGTAAAAAAATTAACAAAAAAAGAAAGAAAAATAGATCACTTCTTCACTAATAATATGTTGCCCAAAGTATTTTAAATGTGTGAATTAATTTCAATTCAAATCTATTTAAGTGAGATTTTAAAATAAATATCTTATTATTATTTTTTTTTAAAAATAAGTTGATTTTTTCACATATTTTTTTTTTAAAAAATAACTTGTTCACAGATTTTAAATTGAAAAGCACAGATAATATGTCTCGGAATGAAAAAGACATGACCAGTTAGATAAAGAAGATACATTTGTTGACCGATGGATGTTGCACCATCATGATATGGGTTGCTGTTACTGTTATTCTTTCTCCATTAAATAATTGGGCCTGTTTTACCAATATTAATTATTATTATTATTATTATTATTATTGCCATTTCCTTTATCATTTTATATACAGTTTGAAATTGTATTCTAAATGATATTTTTTAAAAAATTAATTTTTATAATTTAATTTTTTTATATATTTTTAAATTATTTTGATACGTAGTTATCAAAAATATTTTTTAACAAATAAAAAAAATATTATTTTAATACATTAAAAAAAAACATTTTAAAAAAATTATTATTATACTCCCAAATTTTTTTTTAAAAAAATTATTATTATACTCCCAAACATCCCCTTCAACACAAAATAAACACGTCCCTTCTTAACTTAATAATAAGATTTTTAACAACACAGATTATTTTTTTACCTTACCTGATATTTTTTTCTCTGTGAGGTATGCAAAATTAACCGCAGTAAACTCGCTAAAAACATAAAACAAAAGTCGAGGTGAAAAAACAACAGCGAAGCTATGTATCAAAATAACCCAAACTATACAACACGATTAATTAAATCATTAGATTTTTATGAAAGATGCCATCAAATTAAAAAATAATGGTCTAAAATATCGTTATCCAGAATGTCACTAACCCTTAATTTCAGTAGGTCCAGTGGCTTGGTGGCCTGTCGGAAAATTGAGCTCCGGTCACTATCCTCAGTCCTCGCCCATGGGGCAAGGATAAAAGAAAATGGGAAATGGGATCGAAATCATAAGTTTACATGACGAAAAAAACTCCCTTTGGGTGATTTTGAAAGAACCGAAGAACACCCAGTAGTTACCAGTAAAATGTTCCAGAACTTAGTTAAATTTTGGATATTAATTTAAGATTTTCCTAGAAAACAAAATTGACTTTAAGAAAAAACCAGATGGTTTGGTATTTTCTACCTACTTACATATATCAATCCTATTTTTATTTTATTTTTTAAACAAAGATAGTTTCAAGTAGGTTTTAAATGAGGAGAAGTTGTGTCTTTTAGCTACAGTTATTTATCGCAACTACTATGGTTGTGTAATAAAAATATTTGACGTCAAGCAATTAATTAATTAATTAATGATAGTGATTTATTTATTTATCCTAAATATATATTAGAAAATAATATGAAACTCACAAAATTAATTAAAAGTATATCTAACAAGAGTGAATTAAATTAATAGAAATAAATTATTTTTTGAGAAAAATTAGAAAACAGATTATT